GAATGCCATGATTCCTGTCAAACTGCCACTGCATGTTACATGTCACTGTGGAAGTAAACAAAGTAATTAACACAATTTCTCTGGATGACATGCCATGTTGACACTGACTGTCACTTCATTGATTAAATCAGTGTCATTGTGTCAACAATTGTGTGTCACTAGATCAGAACACACACATATATTGGATGTGCACTGCTGGGGACATCTCAGACAAGGATAAACCAGCACTAGGTGAACACCATATATAAGAACTAGACTAGACAGCAGTGTTATACTTAGTATGTGATGTCATTGGCAATTTGAGGTTACTGAACTGTTTTGTTGAATTAATATTTGTTATATCTTAACTACCTGAGGAGGATTGCATATTTTCTCAAGAATTGGTGAATTTTTGTTTTTATTATTTGTTTTTATTATTTAGAGTTATTTAGTGTTGGTTATATTATATCATACTGTTGATGGTTATAAATTATAAGATTTTAAGAATTAAAAATTAAAAATAAAAATCTTAATTTGAAGATTCCATGAAATGGAAGTAAATATAGTCTGTACCAGTTCTTGGAATTTTAGCAATCAAGCAGAATTATGATCATGATTGTAATAATAAACTTCCATTGTTTTCATATCTTATACCTTTATTGGTATTTTTGGACTTATGCTTTATTTTCTATTTCTAGCCCACCATGCCAGCTGCCATGGAGGTTTCCAACTCTCACAGAGAAATTGGTGTGCAGACCAACATCGTACTAGGGACTCTCAACGTAAAGTTTGTTATCCAAGACAGTGAAGAGGATAAAGTATTTAGCCGACAGTTCTCTGGAGTAAAGACAAACACCGTCTTAAATGGTAACAGCTGTAGGAGTGAGGTAGCAGATTCTAATGGACAGGCAACGTCTTCGCCTCTGACCCCTGTGACTTCTCACCAGAGGGCAGCACTTCAGCAGAACTTCCCACGGCTCAGCGAGAATCCAGGGTTACCATTATACCCACCACTGAGTGTGATTCCATCGTACGGACAGTCTGCGTTCCCAACACTTCCTACATCAGTTCTCCCAGCTGGAGTGGTGACCTCCTCACCGCTACCTCAGCCAAGACAACCCCCATCCCAACCAGCCACCAGGTCGGAACAGATTCTTCGCAGTATACAGCGATCAGTTGGAAGAGAAACTCTGCCGCTTGCTTCGAAACAGATCCTTCGTAAACCCAGGAAGGTCGTGAACCCTCGTCCCAGAAATCTGTTATCTCGTCCCTGGTTGGCTAATGCAGTGCGTGCTGCAGCAGTTGCCTCTGTACAGAATGGACATACAGGTGACTCCCAAAGCTCTGCTGCTGTACCTGTGTCACAACCAACAGTCAGTAGTAGTAGCAGTAATACTAGGAACCCAGTCCGTTGCAATAGTGTTGAAGTGGGAGAAATTACTGAATCTGGACGTGAACCAAAGGAAAATGACAGCAGCAGTAAGCTAAAGATTTCAGTGACTGTACAAGGACATGACAATGAGGAAACAGAAAAGACAGAGTCTAACAACAGGAGTGTCTGCCATAGCATGGATGATACCAAAAATGACATTGATGTCAGCACCAAAGACAGCAATATTGTTCACAAGTCACATGAAAGCATGAACAGAAATAGCCTCCACTCTCCCAGCTCAGAGGGGGACAGTGACACTGCATCCGTGACTGTGAAAGAAGAGCCACATGAGGAGGACTTTGAATCGTGTCATGTTACAAACTCATCTGACTCTGAAGGACAGAATCTTGATACCCATGATTTCTCACCTGTAGGTGGTGACACCAGTGTAGATTCATCCATGATGAGCCCAAACGGAAATCAGGTTCATGATCACAGAGAAATCAGTCCCACTACTGAAGTGACCTCATCTCATCCTACACCCACCATTGATTCTGCAGTGAACAGTCTAGCAGCATTATCAGGCATGAATTCGGAACATTTCTTTGAGAATTTCATTGGTCGAAATCTGCATGGAGCAGCTCTGCAACAAGACCCTGTGCAAAGACGGCACAGCTTTGAAAATGGCTCAACAGTTTTCCCTCCACATGGTGCTTTTCCTCACCAGGATGTACGAAATTCAGAGGACTTGAACTCATCTGCACCAGTGAGTTCATTTTTCACTTCATATCAGCCCAAAGGTACATTTCTGAACAAAGAAGAGAGAGACCAGAGAAAGGAACGCTATAAGGAATTTTACAGGGAGCTGACAATTATAGACAACGAATCTGGACGACGCAAACCAAAATTTGAGTGTCGACTGTGCAATGCTGTCTCGTCTCGCAAAGATCGCATGATTGACCACATTGAGTTCAAACACTTCAACATTCGCAGTTATCCTTGTGATGGATGCAATGTTAAATTCAGTACATACTCAAATCTTGCCCAGCACCGCAAAAAACAGCATGGACTAGACGGAGTGGACATCCCTAGGGGTCAGGCAGCTTATAACGAGCAGGGATTAAGAGTGGACAAGGCACGTCATGTCAGACACCTGTTCTTTAAGATCCAGGACTATAACAACACAGGATTTATGAACAGGTCTTATCAGTGTAAGTTGTGTAGTTATAGGTCAACTAGGACTGATCGCATGGTCATACACATTGAGGCTCACCACAGGGAATATATGTGCAGTAAAGACTGACCACTACATACACATTGAGGCTTACCACAGGGAGTACTTGTGTAGTAAAGACTGACCACTACATACACATTGAGGCTCACCACAGCAAAACCTTTGAATACTGTTAATTTTTATTCATTTTCTTTTGCAATAGGCTACAACCTAGTTACATGACATATTTTGCCAGCAATGCTGGTTGTTTAATATCAATTATTTTGGTTTTGAAGTCATTATATTTTATAAGGTAGCATTTCTAAAACTTGATTGTTGTAGGTTTTCTCTACAATTTCACCATTGGTAACTCAAAAGATTTGGATGTGTAGCAGTGCCACTGCTCGTTTCCATACAGCAATGAAAAGTGTGACTATTTTCATAACAGCTTTTATACTTTCCTTTTGACAAAGACTGTAGTTTGACTTGTGAAGTCTCAATTCATAGATATGCCGTCTATTTTAGGATAGAAATAGTTTTTGTACACAGTACATTTGACAGCTGTTGCTTTGTATCAAAGTGTGTTTTAATTTATCTGACAGATTCAAACTTCCTTTTATTATTTTCTCTAAATTTTTATTTGATGTAAAAATAGATCATCTTATAAAGGACAATCTTACTAGAATTCACCAGAGTGAAGTATGGCCATGACTTGACTTGTACCATGTACTTTGTTAGGGTTTGTTTGAAGACATTTAGCTTTTTGTATGATGCTTTTAACATATTTGTAATCATGGAATGTTTTTTGTAAGCAACACTGTAAAAGAATTTTCATTAAATTAGATATGGTCTTGCATATTATGGAATTGGAGTGTTAGAGGTGGAATGAATATGGATTCCACCATGAATTAATAGGCATTGTAAAAGTTAAAGAACATCGTGCAATTTACCAAATAAAGACATAAGGCTGTACAGAACTGTGGAGCGTTGAGAGGAGATTGTGCTGGTCATTGTATTAAGTGAGCTTGATGACATTGTGCTAGGTGCTGATATGAGTTGGATGACGTTGCGATTGCTTAGCTTTCGTTTTCGGCGAACTTTTTTTTACCCAAAGTGTGTAATGTGCAATTTAAGGTTTTTAAAATATCTAAGTTTTCATTCATTTGACACAAGGAGAAGAAAAAGAAATGTGCAACTTTAAAACCTGGAAAAAGTACAAGGGTTTCGACAGAATTATTTGTTATTTTAAGTGTTATCAGTGAACTTCTTAACTTTACAATTTGTGTATATGTTTTCAGTAGAAATGTATATTTCCGTGAGGTTTAAAATTGACACAAGTCCATTGCAGTGGTTCAATTATACGAAGTTTGGTTGAAAACAAATGAATAAAATGTTTGAATATATTAAGTGTGTTTGTCTTTCGCAAAATTAGTGGATAATTTGAAGACGATTCGCTAATACAAGTTAAGTAATTCATTTTTTTAATCGAAACTCTGGAACCAGTGTGGTAATTCTCTTACCGATAATTCTCTTACCGGTAATTCTCTTACCGATCTCCGACACTGCCATCTGGCTGTATCTAAGAAAAAGTATGGACATTTTTGTTATAGTAAACCTTGTCAATTTGAGACATTTTTAAAGTATTTATTGTGGAAAGCGATTGACTGAAGTCCTATGACAACAGTGCAGTTGTTTCTTGAAACTTTGTTTCTTGAAATTTTTTCTTGAAACTTAAGTATTCACATATTATTCTAACATTATACATTTGATGACCTGACCATAAGTATCCTGTTATCTCTGTCTACTCTAAATACTACAGCTGGCAGACGTTAAAATCGATACAATACTTGAGTAGCTCCAAAGAGCTAATCTTATGTTTGACTAGTGGGATAATTGAGCTAACTTTGTCTGAAAAAGTTTTTGATAAATCATGCAATGAATAATACTAGGCCAGGATTTGTGCCCAAAATGGCGCTCAAGTAAGGCTTACAATGGTATTTTAAGATACCTGTTAATAAAAGTCCAAATGTTAATTGTAAGTTACTCTTTCCCACATTAGAACGTTTTAAACACGCTGTACAAATTCAAATGTTTTAACATTAAAATCAACGTTCGATATCGCGTTCAATCAAAGAAAAGTCTACTGGATGCATGGCGAATTCACCTTTATTATTGGGGGCGAAGAGACTGGACGCGCCGCCCTTTCTGTCGGAAAAAAAGGTCGCTCTGAGTAAAATTTAATCTCAGAACACGATAAGATTTCATGATAAAAGGTCCCCTTTTTCGGAAAATGACCCCCTCCCCTTTCAAAATTGCTGGGTACGGGCCTGTAAGGTCATATATTATATTAATTCTCTGTTATACCATATCAGTGCATACTCATGCTGCGTATATAAAAACAAATGACCTACATCGCTTCAAAAACACACATAGGCACCCCCAGGTTGTGTGGTCTGCGTGTAGAACTCCTACAGTATACAAGATGTCGTCCGATTCAGGAAGATGCGTTCAAATTTCAGTGGTGGTTTTCGTTCTGCTGATTGCACTGCGTAACGCTAGTGGTAAATAGTTGTTAATCTTTTTATGCATATGTATATCTTTTATTAGACATTTATTCATTACGTTTGTCAAAATGTTACTTACTTAACTTGTAATCTGAATTCTCAATTCTCTGAGTTGGGCGATGGCAATACCCACATGATGCTATGTTCACCAGACAAGACTAACTTGGATGTATGATTTTTAATATGTTTCGTAAATACTATGATCAATTTTTGGGAGTATTTAAATTTCTTCTGGCTCAGGCCTCTGATCGTGCTCTTCGCAGTACGGGTTATACATCTTATAACTACAACAAAGTTACTAGGTCAGGTAAACGTCAAAAGTTACGTTATCCCCTATGCTATGTCCAAGGTTTAGAGGCCACATTAGCTGATTTACCTCCCAATGGGTTGATCATGAATCCTGACAACGGCATCCCACCAACAGTGGCCCTTGTGTGCAGTTACACAGTGGATCCCGGAGAGACGATGCAGGTCGTGTATTTCTACAAAGATGGAACGACTGATTCAAGCCAAATAGTGGGAATAGTGATAGCTGACGGAAGTTTCCAACTGCAGAACGCCTTTGACGGTAGAACTGATGTGACGGTTACAGCCTCTGATCCATCATTCACGGTAACAATTGGCACAGTCACGTTGGCGGATGAAGGGAGCTATTACTGCAAAGTAACCACCATACTTTATAATCCCATGGCAATAACCCCGGCGCAGACCCTCAAATTAGTATGTAAGTAAAAATCAGTGTTATATTTAGTTTCTTGTATCAATGTTATCATTTAATATATAATGTGTGGCAGTTTAACATGCACCACACTTTCTCATGATTGAAACCCACTTCTCCATCACCCTCTTCACTCTGACAATAAATACTTGAAGGAATCATATTATCTTTAAACAGCAAATGGGACTTCATAGTTACGAACTTTTTTTTTCATAATTCAACAATTTACAGATCGACCGAATCCACCCCAGATTACACGAGGACCCCAAGTTGCCACAGATACCTACCGGGTATCTTGTTCTTCTGATGGCGGAAGACCAGCACCCGAGATAAAATGGTTTAAAATGCAGAGTTCTGATCAGATGCAGGTGGCAATTAATGCAACTACGAACACGGTGACACCCCAGGGAGACACCTTTCTGGTTGAAAGTGCAGTAGAAGTGATAGCAACCCAAGCAGATCCAGTGGAATTAATTTGCCAGTTACTGCACGACTCACTTATAAGTCAAACCACGACAAAAATCACGGTGCCTGAAAGTGCTGGTATGTATGGATATTAATGTGGATGTATAATTGAGAAAACGCATGGATTATAATCGAACTACTTCCTGCTGCATAGCGTCACTTACTTATGTTAGTGGATTACAATCGCCCTAGTTACTCAAAAAATCTCAATTAGCAAAATTTTGTCATTTGTTGTAACCCGGAGCATGAAAATGATAATGTTGGCTAAATACATATATATTAGATCCGAGGAAATGTATGCGCAGTTTTTTGAAACTTTAGAAACACGTTTAACTGTTTATTGCGTTGTTATCTTCTCTTATCCTTTACTTCAGCTCCTTCAACGAGATCCTCAAAAGCTACAGGTAGTTATATTTTCCCTTGTGTCACTACGTTAATTATATTAATCACTCTTGAATCGATCAACTGCCAAATTTTAAAAGAAGAAAGAAAATAATGTTATTACATTGATGAAATTGCATTTAAAGTGTTAAGAAAATCGAATCAAAATATGTTAAGCATTTCATAAGTGGGACTTCTATAAGCATAACACAATATATATATTTATTTATTGGTGTTGGTACATTGGTAATATATTTCTAAATATATATATATTTTAAAATTAAGGATACGCATATAATTCACATTATTGATTTCTGAAAATGAAATTATACATACTGGTTGCGTCACGTAACGTTAATTGTAAATAGTGGTAGATGTACAGTGTAGTTGTTGTAGTAGAAATTTATTTTGGCAAATATCGAAATTTAACAAAATCTGAAAGTTGAAGACAATGTACCAACACTTCTTTATAAAACACTGTCCAATTTAAAAAGGAAAATCCACTTTAAAATTCCTTTTTAAATGTATGAGATCTACCGTGATATATTGTTAGCTGAATTTTCAAGTACGTATAAGTGAACTAGTCTTATCATTCTGCAGAAATGGTGCCGTATTGTATGATTATCTGTTTGGATTACAATTTTTATCAGTAAAAGGTCACATATGTCATGTAAATGGAGGTTAAAACGTAGAAAGTACTCTTAAGGTTGTTCTGTGATTAGTGACAAGGAGATGGTGTTTGTTCTCTCTCTCTCTCTCTCTCTCTCTCACACACACACACAGACACACTTTCATCATCGAGGGAAATCTTGGATATTACTAGGAATCTAGTAAATTAATGAGTTGTATCCTTAACAATACAAATAACATTGGGCTTGCTGCCGGAACGATAAAACTGCCACCCACCGCCACAACGTGCACTGCCTCGTCTTGGTTTCACGAAATCTATCCACTTAGCACTCAGTACGTACGGAATTCTAGTAAAAATATCATGCACAACACTGCGCGCACTTTTGGTAAGTAGGACAAAAACTAGAACAATATAATAATATCAAGTAGTATTCCACTGTGGTGACAATATCTTTATACTGTAAAAGGGCACGAATATACTGTTCATTGGTACTTTCTATAAACAAAAAATGTGTAAAGAGATATCTTTTATTTCTTTTTCAGCATCGGCACTTTCCTCAACAGCGTCAACAAAAAATGTCGGTGGGACAAACCAAGGTATAGATACTAATAATAGTCCTCTTGTAAAATTGCCAAACCTTTATAAACAGTAAATATCTCTGTATAGATTTTTGTCAATGGGGATGTACGTTTTTCCAATGGAATTATCCTTTCAAAGATTGCATAATATTCTCCAACAAAATTATAAGGAGTGACGTAAAATTAAAATGTTTCATTGGATATTTGTAATAAAACATTCTATGCAAAGCATTCATGAGTAGACACGTGTTTTGTACTTGAAGAATTATATGATTCTTCCCATTAATACAACCAATAAATTAAATTGTAAACACATTTCTTGGTTCAGGGAATGGATGGATGGTTGCAGCGGTAGTCCTTATCGTGCTGACAGTATGTCTAACAGGCGTAATACTCTTCTTGGTATTTCACTATCGATTATGGACATTCCAAAAACCAAAGCTTGGAAACAAGGTAACGGATGCTGCGACAACTGTATCTCAACACGCAGCAAATGTCAAGGATTGATTTTACAACTTTTCTATACTGCGCACGATAGACCCAACCGGGACTGGCGGTATTTGACATTCCTGAAAAGATAAGGTAGACGTAATGTCATACTACTACTAAGGCATAAGACGTTGCAGTCTTGCAGACGGATTACAAGATAATCCTTATTAAATCAAAACCACGATCGACCGGTATGCGATCTAGACCACTATGCTACACGCATAAGCGCTCAACGACGAGGATCTTCTTTTCCCAGTGCCCGTCATTCACATATACAGCTGCAGAAACCATCCATACAGGCCGTCTAACCAAGTAATCATCGCTGGGAAAGGAGCCAGAGTGAATGAATGCATTTCTAAAATACCGCAACATTTATTGTTGGATGTTGTAAATATGTTATTGAACTATTTATGGTATTCTGAAAATATGACTCTCTATAGCATACTTTTTGATTGTTATACGGTATACTGTAAACAGCATGTACAATACTTTTTTAATCTCTTTGCTACTTTTAAAGTAGTATATATGCGCGTGTGTGTGGTTGTGTGATCATGCGTGAGTGTTTCCAAAGCATGGCCACAACTGACGGGCTGTTTCTTTCCCAGACCATGCCGCCACTAAATTGTACAGTTTGGCATGCAAATTATCAGTGGGTATTTATATCTTGGATATGGCCCTAAAATCTTCCTGTGTATGCTGAGATTTGTTTCATTAATCAGTTGTCATTTTTTAATCACATACCCAAGAGCTAACATATGTAGGCCTAACCATTTATATATACTCTATATATACAGTATGTACCAGTGGTGGATTTAGGGGGTGTCAGAGGGGTCCTGACCCCCCCCCTTCCTCTTCGATTTCTGAAAAAAAAAATCACACCAATGGTCCCCTCTTGAAATTGGAATTTTGACTAGCTGAATCATAGTTTAAACTGTACCAACGCTCACCCTCTAAAATACCCAAATTAACCCCACGCCAAGGGGGGGGGGGGGGGGGGGGGGGGGGAGGGTCGGCTTTGCATCCACTGACCCTCCTTTAAATAATCCTGGATCTGCCCTTGTGTACAATATTTATGTCATCAAAATACACATATTAGGCCGTACCTTATTACCATATTACCTTATTGAAAGAGGAAGAAGTATATTTTTCTTCATTATCAATCTTAAAGACATGCCTTTCTATTAAAATAAATCAGAGGAAGTAAAACAGGAGGCTAGCTTCTGTCTTCACCTGTAGTCTTGCACAACCGGAAATTTTATAAAGGAGCTCAACAAGCGATTGCGATAGTTGAGATACGAAACCCACTTTCGCCACGTCTCACCCATGGATGACGCATGCATAGCTAGCATATGTAGAGTACCTCATGTGATCGAGAAATTGCTGAATAATGTATTGAATACATATAGTAAATAGATGACTGGTGTCTGTTTCACTGTCTGTCGCCCGTATTTCAAAGTGCAAACACACACTTGTTAATGATAGACGCCGACGCTTGGAGATCAATGAACGCGCAGCTGACAGCTAGATTCATAACGGGAGTGCCAGAGAGCTTTTTGTTGTCTTACATCTCCTTATCCCTGTTATCAAATATCCTGTTCTGTTGTCTTGGAGGCATATTTCACAATTTTGATTTATTACGTTTTATGTCTGCCCAGACGAGCATTTTGCAGAAAGCGAACATGTAAGAGATAGGTTGATGGGAATTATTTTGGTGGAGGTGGTGGGCGGGGGTGGTGGTGGTGGTGGTGGTGGGGGGGTAGCGCTTAGGTCCAGTAAATAAACCTGGACCAAAACGGATCCAAAAAGTGTATCTGTAATTGTTATCCTTAAATTTAAACTTGACAGAGTGATGTACATGTTAAATATTGTGTTCAAATAGCCTATCGACAAATGTCTACATATACGTATATCGTTATGATTAAATCCATTTGTTAATTTCGGGGTTCGCTAGAGAACAGTTTATATCAAAAAACACATCATAAAAACTTTCTATTAAATGAAGGTCAAATAAAGTGTTTTTCTCTTTTTTTAATGCATAATTGGAAGGCTACTTTCAAATAAAAACATCGTGTCCCCAAATATGTTGGAAAACAGTACAAACTATCCAGCTTGTTCTATTCAATTTCACACATAAATAACATCTCTCCTTAACTCCATTTAAGATGTGTTGATAAGAAAACCAGCGTTGTTTCACCTTTTTCCACATGTTTTGAAAGACAACTTATTTCAAGTAAATACCAGTGTCACAAGCGTCGCCTTGAGGCTCGATTATTCCGGTGCGTTAGCCGTGTTACGTAAGGAAACATTCTGATTCACATACACTTGACTTTGACTCAGTCGAACTTGGGAGATTATGTGATCCCTTAGCTCAATATAAAGGCCGGGAAATAACACTGGCAATTTCTGTCCGCATCGAAATTATAGTGTCCATTGTGGTCAGTGAAAGCCATTTACCGCTCAGCAAAACTGCACGTTTATACATGTCCGGATGCCATGAGTACATAAATAAATGTTTTATTTGTGTTTTCTTACTTCTAGATAAAATAACTGAGGGTTGCTTCGGTTGTACTTTTACAGGTATCAAATCTGCAACAAGACATTTCATAAAAGTTGTTATTGATCATACTTCTGCCAGGGGTCTGTTGTGACTGCATGTCCACTCTTTACTGACACTGCATGGAGGAAATAATGTATCACAAATTTCCCGGTAATTAATAGGAAAGTACGAACAAAGATATTGATAATATATATGAGTCTACAAATGAGAATATAATTTTTGTCACAACTTAATATATTATTGGCAAATATATATATAAATATTTATATCCTCTCGCTGCCACTCGGATAATACATTCGTAAAAATCGCCAGGACCACATGTACAGAGAAATTTTTTCTAGACATTCACAGATATTTCTCTCGCTATTCGCAAGCTTAAACTGAAGTGGCCTCAAGAGACAGATAGTGATAATATGCAACCGCCAGTCCTTCTGTAGGATGTCAAGGATTATGTCAAAGGGAGCGTTCAGATAAACCTATCGTACCAGCTAGATTGATCCTATTCTGCTGGAGATTCTCTCAAAGTGCAGTCGCTGAAATCGGTTTAAATGTCTGAGACGACTCCTCGAGTTGCTAGGGGGTTAACTTCCTAACAGGGAGCTGATTACCCTGAATGCAGGCATGGATCAATCCAGCTGGTACGATGTTTGAATCTGAACGCGGTCAAAATGCATGCTTCAGAAGCACTTCTTATCCAGAGATGAAATCACAGTTTGTCAGCTCATCGATCTTTCAGTAGCATACTGTACAAGTAGATAACACAGTTATGTAAAAGAAATCAGCGCATCTAACCGGGGTATATCACTATTTCTTATCACATTCGTAGGAGTCGTGCGCGCGCGCACTCGCGTGTGTGTGCATGCTAGCACCACCCACTTTCTTCAACGTGAAGCATAGCTCAGGGGGGGGGGGGGGGTAAACTCACCACCCACCCCTGCACATGAATTTGTTTCTTGCACGTTCATTGTTGATAATAAATTAAATAAAACATTTGAAACTCAAAGGCAAATAGGAAAACAGATTCACCAATTACAATATACGTTCGGTTGTTAAGCTACTTGTACAAGAAGTTACTCCTTTGTCACGGTGATAAGCTACAAGTCCACGGCTTTTGCTTTTGGGTTATTTTAATTTAAAAATCCGGCAATAAAAGTTTGAATGCTATTCCTTTTCGCCATTCATACTGAAATCCAGTCATTTCCGTTCCTGTTTTGTTGTATTGGCGATTAAAGGAAGCAATATTCATTGAATCTAGAACTAAAATGACATGTGCGTAAAAACAGAAAAGCATATCATAGTTATCGATTTGAAAAAAATCGAACATCAGCCTTATACGTCTAAAAGTGTAAGGGTGATGAATATATTCCTGTCGTATCAATATATCCTTCCAACAGCCGTCTCCCTTAGTCACACTATTTACAAGTACTCATAGTGCCACAGTAATAGGAATTAAATACACACATCAATTTGCTCTAAAATGACGATCCGCACTGGTGAGTTTGTATACAGGAATAAGAAATAAAACCGATATTAACTTGAACACTCTTTGCTCTTTTACAGCCTGTGCTAGGCCGTGGAGTATGATTGTGTGCGTGTTTCAGGGAACTAGAAGGGGGGGGGGTGTAACAAGAACAGGGGCGGCACATGGGAAGAGCTGGCGAAACACACAGGGTCAAAACAAGGGGTTATTTCCCCTGCATAAATTATTGGCAATAACCTGTGATCTTAAGGCCGAATATCGAAGCCATTTAAGCGTTAACGCCGATTGCGAAGGATTATTATTGAATCAATGTTTGTATGACACAAATAATGGTATGTGTTGTTCTAGGTGATGCGAGGTTTATTTCGTTTATTTCCTGTCATTTACTGTCATTTAACATAAAAAAATACATAAATGAAACAATCAAACGATGACTCTGACGCATTTGTTATTTTTGTCAACTCATTTTCCTCCTATATCACGAGTGGCTTCATCCTTTCAACTTCCCGCCCATTTTAGGTTTCATTTCCTAAGAAATAAAAATATTTGGAAAAGCCCACAGCCGACTTTGTTGAAAGATCATATCGACATCCAGCTCTCCAAACCAAACACAATATCCATTCAAACATATCTTGTTTAATTCAACCACTGAGCTGACAAAAGACGTGGGTCGAGCTGAAAAGGCGACATACCTGGGTTATGTTGCAACTAGCAGGCTGGACAATACGGTGAAAGAAAGTCGATACACACGCCTCGGGAGTTCTCATAGTATCAAGCAAACAATCGGTCCGCCAGCGTAACGCACGAGGACGCGCCGGTTAGCTAGCTCATCGCGTTACTCTATACCCAAGCGAGGGCGGTTTATTACATCCAACACCAGTTGTTTGCAGCGTTATCTTTCCGGCCTTGGAATACTTTCAACACACCGTTAGAGGGACGTAGGCGTCGGCGATACTTTTGACCGCACAAACCAGCGTACAGTGATAAAGATAGTAGAAAGGATGAAGTCGGTTATGAAGGGTGTGGGTTTTTTGAACGTGCTGGTCTTGTTACTGCTCAGGGAACCCGATTTTTGCTCAGGTAAGATATATATTAAACATCAAGGGGGGCATTATTCCCCGCCACAAATAAATAGGCATGTTACTAGACGCATATATGTCGAAATGACCATGTCCCCCTTATATAAGATACCCCCTCTAAATATTAGAGGCATACTAAATTTTAAGAAAAGATGCTAGTCTTTTTTTTCGTAACCCAATTTGTTGACTGCGTGTAATGGGCAATTGAAGATATTTATTTGTATATCGTATTCCAACAAGATGGATTCAGCATTTTCTTCTAATGATAGGGATCAATAAGCTACAATTTGAATTTAACCCAAGAAAGCAATGTTTTCAGAAAAACATGCAGGTACATATAGATCGAGGTGTATCATGTTCATAATCAAAATGGCGGCTGCAAGTGTCTTTAAGTAAATTTAGTAATGTATTGCTCTCTGCTAAGAAGGCAGTATTTTTTATTTGGCGAAGATGATGCAGAATTTTTTCTTTCCAAAAATTGAATACGTGCACCTCTTTTGAGATTAGACCTTAAAGTGTATGGCTTAATTTCATTTTAATGAATTATGCCATCATTTTCTTTCCAATTAGAAGAAATTATAGAATGTGACACTGTATATGATAGAGGAATAGTAAAACGTGATCTTTTGGGTACTGATATACAAGATTCTAATTGCTATCTAAATTCCCAGAGTAGGCATTTGTCTTTGTCGTAACCAAAACATAACTGCATTGTCATCAAAGAAACAGAGCCCCTGTAAAGAAAATGCAAACTCCTAAATATCTTCCGCATTCATCAGGCCTTCACTTGACGTTTGACATAAAAGTGCTGGAATTCATATTTCATCGAACAGTTCTATTGATTACTGCATCAATCAAGTATTTGATCGATACGCCGACACAAGCTAATGGCTATGCACATGATGTAACTTGCTTAGTCGAGTCAATTCTATTGTAATTTTCAGCTGTACGCAGGTGTGTGCATTGTATTCGCAAATTCTGCACCCAGCATAATGGTAAAACTGAGAAAGACAAACAGCTAGATCCGAAATGCAATTAAACCGAATCTATATAAGACCAATATGGATAGGCCTATATATATTCCAAGCACAGACTTTGATGCTTTGTGGCATTCTTCCTCAACATCAGATCACACGTACTATAAATCATCTTATATTATATATAAGTATGTGAAAGACACAGGGATACAGCGTGACCTTTCCAAATGCACAATGTATAGATACAACACTGATAACAATAAGTGCACTATTATGAATCCCACCGCCTGACATTTTAGATTATTTATAAATATCTGTCGGTAAAATCACATTCCAGCTGATATATGAAAATGAGTTACGCCGCACCGTAAAGATCAAAGTAATAATAAAGATAATACAGATTAACTAAACAGATAGTTATTCCTCGTTGAGTTCGAGGGCTTATCTTTTATTAATTTAATTTGATTATATTTATGAATAATATATATTGAGATATACAGCGACGCCGGCACCACAACCCATTGCTAATAGCTCTGAGCATATGGAATATAATTTACTTAATGGGCATGTGATATATACGTTGCTCGCCTTACTTTATTATAAGCTAGAGCAACAGGTATGCCACAACCACGTACACATACAACACAGGTATATATTTAAACGTACGTTAAATGCCAAGGAGGTGTCATCTGCACAAGTAAAGTCGCCCTTGTGACCTCCCCCTGATATTTATGGCCTTATTATTTTACTCAGCTATAGTTACCCTGGGTACGCATCACACTTTGTGAAGACGAGGTATTTAGACAGCCACAAAAAGACACGTGACACCTGTTTTAGAGCTCGGTGACACTTCCGTGCTGAAGTCTCTAAAACCCAGGATTTCGGCCATGTATAAGTATTTATTTCATCGTGTAGATTTGGTATTTTTCTACCTGAGGGGCGTTGCTTTTTATTCAGTGCGGACGGCTGCGGTTTTGATAACGACCCTCGCCTTTTAAACTTGTCATCTAAACTGTAACGCTCTTGAAATGACACTGGCACGAAAAATATGTCTGTAACCAGTCACCGAATATATGTCGCAAAGCTCAACCTGACATTCAGGGGTCAGGCGGTATTAAATCTGAAAGTTTGAACGGATAATTCCCGCTGCGAAGACCAGGGGATAATCTTATTATCCTTTCATGGATTAAGATTGGATAAGCAGGTGTAATTGTTCTTATGGTGTGGTGTACACACGGAAGACATGCCCCAAACCGACCACTGGACAAAGGCTGAACAAACACATGCCATTGTGATGCGTTAGTTTCCCACCTGCCCACATCAAGGAGTACAGACTTCAAGATCTGACTCGTCGCTGTTCAAATTTCTATTAGTTTTAATGGCAGCTTTATCGTTGACGTGCTAGATCGCCTTAGAAATCACGAGGCAACCCTCCCACTTGACTCCACTTATGCGCGGAGCTGTTGCATGTAAATAAACGTATACACGAAATATGAAGATGATTGGTGCATGACAAATAAAAGTAAAAAGAACTACGAAACGATCTGAATAACCAAGACTAAATTGTTCAGGTCACTTTTGAGGACAGGTGCCAAATTCGGTGACACATAGGATGACTAAATACGCGCCATTTTAACTTATACCAGTCATTGGGCGTACACTTATATTCCGTAAAAATCTAGGGTCTGTTTAAAAGCCAAGCAGATTTTTTTGTTTGGCCACTTTTTCTGGTGGATAATCATATTTAGAACTATTTTTCTTATCGATACAAATAATTATTCCATCTTAAAAGAATGTGGTCGCTGTCCGTAATACGTATGTAGTATACGTACGAGTAACGCCAGCACGTGTACGGATATCAACATTTAATCAGTATTATTACCTTCACCAACTTTTACATTGTTAAAACTAATCGGCTGTTGCTAATTCTTGGAAGAAACATGCTGGCTCTCTACTTGTATTGAATGACAAAATATCAGCTGAACAACAAATAGTATATAATAAACGATCCATATAGCGCTAAGCAATAAGTCGACCTCCAAGATATATCGATCATATAAAACGCCACCCCACCCACTTTATACTTATTTAGATATATGATGCGAAAGATTAAAGCGACAGTGGAGGAAGTCATTATAGTGATAATAATAATGATGGCCCATCACATGACGTCAAATAATGTTACTTTTTCAATTAGAAAGCTATTTTGAATTATATAAGTATGTTTCACGTGACGAAAATATAAATAATGTATGTAATTTTGGTCAAAATTATAAAAGCCCATTTTAGTACAGATGCCATTCTCTAAAATACCCAGCCAAGATTGTGCCGCATACAGTGTACTGTGGGCATTGGCCAGGCTAGGGAAGGGATGGGGTAGGACTTCCTTGGAATATATATTTACTTATTTAAAACTTGGTGCAAACTGGAGCAAATTTATGAAGAAATTAATCATCTAGTGGGCAGTGTAGGCTGGTCCTCCGATTATGCCGACCACTATATCATAAAGAGCTGTCCACGCTTACCAATTCAGGAGAGTTAGGTGCCGGTCGCTTTACTGAATGTGAAAAGAAACCGATGTACAGTTTAGGGGTGTTTTAAGTACAAAAATTATGTTTTTGTGTAGAACTGCTTTTCACCTCTTATTTGAGGAATTGAGGACTACCCTGCGTTAAAAAAAAAAAAAAAAAAAAAAAAAAACGGGGACGGAGCGGGCGCTTTGCTCCTCTCCCCCTCCCCGGTCCCTGTTTTCACCACTGCGTCCTTACAGCATCCAAATCCATATACATGTAGATATTTAAATAGTAGTAGTCAACAAAATAATTTTACCCGAAAACATAAGGAATCTATATTTGAAACGTGTAGAATACACACATATGCATAGAACTCGATACCACGAAAAAGCTGTTCATTTACAATGAATCCAACTTCGAATATCGTAGTCTTTGTTAAATATGCCAAACGGAACATTGTTAGCAATGGCCATGGAATAATTTCTCCCCACATAATGACTTAATGGCTTCGATAATCATTATAATCTCCAATTATATCACTTCACATCGGACTTGACCGAATGTGCATAAGAAAATTTGGTTTTACATCTATTGTGTATGGTTTTTTCTGTCTTTTTTCTTCGTGTCTCTTCGAAGTGAAACACACAAATTGAAAGAGGAACAATGATGTCACTGTACCAACCAAATCAATTTCATAATGCCACATAACTTCGGTTTTCAAAATCATCCCCCTCACCTGCTAAAGTGTCGCTGTCAACGCGACAGGTGTTTCATAAGAGGGTCCAATTTCACAAAAGAAATTCAAATCAGAAGTCGGTCTTCACAATATTTCTGTTTGCGTATGCCAGGACGTGGTGAATCTGTTAAAGTCCTACCCACTTCAGTAAAATATTATGCTATTTCGGTGAGACGAGGGGCAATGTCAATATTTTAGACAGATGCCTGCTTTATTTTCATGAATTATGACCGATTTTTTTATAAATGGAAGCGGACAACAATTTTTAATCTTAAGCTGTATTGTGATACTCGCTTCTGATACTCGCTGGCTTATTCCTTATTGGAGTTAGCTTATTCCGTAATAAAAACGTGACCTCAAACAATTGATATGTCCTTTTTGTTTATGGACCCGTTCGAATTAAGCTAATTTAGGGAGAAATTTAGGGCGAAATATGTAAACTGATTTAGGGCAAAATATATAAGAGATGCTACCGGATCAATGCTGGAGGTTCAGACTGTGGTTTAGATGGTGAAACACCATAGAAGATTGAAAATTACCCTTCCCCAGTAGACAACCCACTGTGTATGCACTGATTTGATTACAATTAGCGCTTACTGTTCTACTGTAACCTATTCTCAATGGTCTGAAGTTAACAATATCCACTATTGTGATGTTCATAACCATCATGTACCATAGTGACAGGGGTGGATAATAGTCGACCATTTCGGTTTTTCAATGGAGTGTCTCTCTAACATGTAATTTAAACCAAAGAACGATATGTCCAGTTTTCTGACATTTTCCTTCCTGAGCAATATGTCAATATGCAATGCTTCGTTTTGTAGCTAAAGTGAATCTCGGGAAGCTGGACATCTTGTTAAAAGTAGACCCGACTGGGGCATTCCCTTAAATGGTCTTTTTTTGTCAAAAAAGCCAAGAAACCGATGTCAGTAAATTAATTGTAGATGCAGTTTATACATATGTATTCCAGCTGTCTAACATGATTGAAAGACCAGACATTTAATTGTTTGCGCTGAATGAGCAAAACTCTTGGCTTCAGTTACGTTCAGTTGCGTACTTTCTGCAGCATATCTAAAGCAAATCATATGAAAAAGTGTGTAATGTTTGGACTGATCTTTTAATTTTAGGTTTGACAGTGACTTTGTCTGGAGTGAATCCCAATGGTTACATTATGAACCAAGCCGCTGCGGCTCCGTCTGCTCAACTTGTATGTAGTTACGACCTAGGCTCCGACACGCAGCCTGCAGAATATGTGACATTTTACAAAGATGGTGCCGACACTGCTCATCAAATAGCAGTAGTTAAAGTAGCAGATGGAGCTTCTGTGAAACAGAACAGTTACCAGGGTAGATCCGATGTCGAAGTTAATGCCAATGACCCACAATATACTCTCAGAATAGCCTCTCTTCAGTATTCTGACGAAGGAAATTATACCTGTAAAGTTGTCCTAAACTTCCAACAGAATACTGTGACGTCATCGCCACAGAACCTTATGGTGTATGGTAAGTGGCTATTGATGAATGCATTACACTTCTGCTATAGTTAACATTAATGCACAATTATTTGAAATAAAATATATTTGAACAAATGCACCAGTTTTGAATACTTGTCCGAGTGTAAAATTTTTGACTATTTTTTGATTGAGAGAAACAGTTTTAAAATGTCACGCTCCATGTTTACTTTCACTTTTTTATGACACCTTACATTTTTCTTTCATTGTACACTATCATCACTGTTGTATTGTTGTTATCAGATATTTTATATTTTATATTTATTTTTGTTCTTATTTCTTTTCGCCCTTTCACTTGTTGTATTCTTATTTATAATTTATAAAATTGAATTAAGTATTTATTCAGATTTGTCGGTTTTGCAATAAATAAATAAATATGAAACGTAACAAAAAGTTATTAATCATATTTCAATACTTCCTCGTCTACCTTTCTCTCACTATTTTGCACCGCTTAAAAATGTTTCTTTTTTACTTTAAGCTGAGCCACAACCTCCCCAAGTGTCCCAAAGTGAAGTGGCACCAAACAGATATCAAGTGGAGTGTCAGTCAACCGGGGGAAGACCCGCACCGACGCTTACTTGGTATGTAAGAGATGCTGCCGGATCAGAAGTCGAAGTTAACGCCGCTAACCCGCAAACCAACACAGAAAGCGGGGATACGTTTATCGCCAGTAGCACGCTGGAACGAAATGCAACAAACGAGGAGCCAGTGACAGTCATCTGTAGAGCGACACATCCAGCTCTAAGTAGCCCTATGAGTAGAGAACAACAGCTGCCCCCAACAATTGGTAAGTATAAAAGTAATCCTCTATAACTGAAAATAATATATCTTATCATCTTTGACGAGTCTTGGCGATTATGTGAAATATATTTACTAAAGTGGATTTGTAAAAGTTACACCGAAAATTAATATTAATATAAAGTGTCGTATGTAAAGCACTTTCCGGAAACGTGTGTCAGACAATGTTCTAGACTCAATGTCACTTAATCAAAGTGTATTGCTTCTCTGTATTTAAGTCTCTACTAGCACCACTTCCACACAGGCGCCAACTACGACGACCGGATATATTTCAAGTTGTGAAATAGTTCGACCAAGTATTATAGGTAGGATGGATTTCCTCACCCAGCATCTTCCCCTTTTTCTGTTTCTCTCTGTCTTTCTGAGTCTCTTTCTTTCTGGTTAAATGAAGCAAACGTCAGAGTATTACGAACGAGGTTTCTTATGATCTCATGAAAGTATTAATATGACAGAAGTATCTTTACACAGAGAATTATCAATGAATGACATGATTCTAATAAAGTTTCGATCCACCAACTATGAATCTTGCCTTGGTAATGTGACGCCCAGGAAATTCCTTGATCTTCCCAGGGTTTACGGTAGCTTCCAGATTTCCAGGCAGTTACTTTGTTTATTTCAAAACGCAATTAAAATACCAACTTAAAATAAGCCATTGATCATGAAGAACATAAGGAAAATAGGCTTATCTTATCACTAAAATTACTATCAGACCGCTGTAAATCCTAAACATCAACTACCTTTGCATTTTTGTTGTAGCACTTGCGGCATTGGCGTTGATGAAGATTTTACTGTGAGGGGATTTAAACAAACGGTTAAGGTAAGGATTCATATGAATAGGGAAACGGGAAACATCCTTTTTTCATCACCATCATAAGTCATTCGCAAATAAAACAAGTCCCCCCCCAAAAAAAAATTACTTAAAGAAAGGGTTAATGGAATAGAATTTAAGTGTTTTGTTACCATATAGAATATATTTTAAAATACAATTTTATCACAATTTATTTAATTTTATATGAAAACTAGCACAGATTTTCGGACTACTTGTTGAGTTTGAGATATGACTGTTACAGTATCACATTATAATTAATGAATCAACATCTATCTTTTTAATTAATCACATACCGACCTTTATAACCTATTTTCTATTGCAGGTCATATTGACATAATAGATAACCATTGAAAATAGGAATGGATGAATACTCTAAAGGATATCAGGACACCAGATGTCACTGCTTGCAATTACGGCTTGTTGGAATCTAAAACAAGCACTCTCTCAGTTTTTATATTCCATGGAGTGCGATGCATTTGAGATGAAGGGACATTTTTTTTTCATAGTGACTGCATTGTCCGATGTTGCTGTGAATAGGATTTGTTGCTTTTTATAACAAAGTTGAGAAATGTCCTTGTATTGCTTTGACTAATGAACGGATTGCCTTTTAAAGATACTAGTTTTTAGAGAAATCTTTCGTAATTGTCAGCTTGCTTCCTTGTTCTTTTTGTTTAGATATTGTCGCTAGCTGTATTAAGTGTAAATAAAGAATGAACCGTGTATGCAAAGGATAAAATATTAGCATGATTTTTTTTACCAAACGTTAAATTGGTATATTGTCACGAATGCTACTTTATATTTTTACCAAGGGCTTTATTTAGATGTAACATTTGAAGGTATATTATTTTGATTAGGAATAGATATAGCAAACATGGATGTGACAGTTTGATGCACATATGAAATATATAATCAACATGTGAAGATGAAGGATTTAAAATTAAATGTAAGACAAGGAAATTACTGTTTTTTCAACATAAGACTTTATGTGTTACCAAATGTATGTATAAACATTTGTTGTTGAATAAAGCCAATTTTGTAAGAATGACTTATGCCCCCATGCAATTATTTGACATTTATTTCGTAAGGCAATACTTTAGACAATCTGTGAAATTGAGAAATTGGTAATAGGTGACTGTCGGAAAGACGAAAAAAATGTGTCTCCATTAAGATACTTTATTTTACTGTACGGTAATTGCAAAATGGAAAAAAGGTAGTGTTTTGTCTAAAACCCTTTGAAAGGAGCATGTTTATTGTTATTGTTTAATTTAGAAAAAAATTATATATTATGTTCGGTACTAGCAAACCATTTAAAAATGAAATTGCACATATCCTTTATTTTCGTATGGTGATAAGTTGCAATACTATTTGCGCTTTCTTAACATATTTAAAAGAATGGCTTAAGGAATAAGTAGCATATATAAATCCTAAGATGTGTTTTGATATCGAAATTGCCTTTACCAACTAACTGCACCGCCAGTTGTGTTAGTTGTGATAAATATCTTTTTGTTAATCGAGAAACATTGGCGACTGTACAATATGAATACAGCCTCCCCATACCTTACTTGTGTTGAAAATCGAAGGCCAACGCAACCTTATTCCTGATTTAATTTTTAAATTAGGGTGATGTGTTCTACACTAAACACATAAGGCAAACTTATTATTAATAACCATGAGAAGTGGTTCTGTCGGCTTGCAAAACGCTTGATTTTGGTAGGGAGTGACAATATATTTACTTCCTGGTACAAAAACTTCCTCTCTATTGAAAATGATTTAATGTAAAAGTGGATTTATTAGATTAGCTAGCATGGCCTAATTTTACCGTTCTGTACCAACTTTTCTGAATTAAACCTTCTGAATTAATCAGTTTGTTCTCCAGAATTCAATTCCTGCGCCCTTCCAACAAGAAAGCCTTTCAGTTGATTAACTGGATTTTTATCATACACTCCGCCACAGGTATCACGCCCATCTTAAGAAGGTTATGGAAAAAATTACCGTCTGATTTAGTCAAGGTGTATACTACTAAAATGCTTCCCGAACTTAAATATTACAATACCCTATTATACTGTTAATGCAGGTTTGGAAGTTACCTTAGATGCTATACCATTCAATGGGTACATCATGAATCCTGATAGCGGCATCACACCAACAGTGGACCTTGAGTGCAATTAAACAGTGGATCCTGGCGCAGTACGTGACTTTTTCAAAGGAGAAACGGACGATAAAAACCAAATAGCAGTCACACAGGTTTCTGATGGAAGATTTGCCGCCAGAACTGACTTGATGGTTAGTCTCTGATCCATCATTCACGGTAACAATAGGCAAAGTAACATTGGCAGATTAGGGGAACAATATGTGTCAGGTTTCAGTCCCATTCAGTTATCCCGTGGTTACGACTTTGGCGCAGAACAAATGTAATATTAAAATAATATAAAACATGACAAAAAACGAAGATTATCATTCGGATAAATAAATTAGAAGAAATGTGGAGATGATTTTTTTTCAGTGTGAGTTTGTGTGTCTGTCTGTGTGTCTCTGTGTATGTGGCGCTACGATAGATTTTTACATTCCATGACTTGTATTGCGTTTTTACATTATGATGAAAGACCTAAAACAGAAGAGAATGTTAATACTGCGACTATGTGTTGCTTCAATATCACTGTTAGAAGCTGTCTTAGATTCGTTCTTGTTATATAATGGCATTGAAAAAAAGCTGTAGTATTACTTAATTTGATCAAACGGAGAATTGATTTCTGAAGATATAAGTCATTGGCTGATGCTTTGGTTGTTAGCGTTTTACCTTATTTTTCTTTTGTATTTTGATTATCCATATATATTTATTAAGAGTAAATGGATGTTGCAGTTTGTTGACAATTGTATTTTAGATATTTAGAGTGAGAAAAAGCTAATTGATCTAAAGTTGATTTGAAGAGATTCAATCTTATATTAATTAAGTTGTCAGTTGTCTGCTTGCTCCTTATATTGTGTTTTATTCGATGGGTGGGGTGGGGTGGATGATAAGACAAACATTTTAAAGGTTTTGTCATGAAACAATACTAAATTCATACATAGTTGTATATACCCATTAAAATTACCTAATTTATACCTTCTGTTAATAAAATCTATTGCAATATTGTGCAAACTTTAAAGTGTTGGGTTGTTTTTATGAAATCCTCTCTAATGAAATTGTGAAAATTCTCAACCATTTATGTTTTAATTTCTTAACACATTGAGAAAAATATCATAGCAATGGACAAACCATGTGTACAAGCATTGCCAAAGATGTTGTATGTTAATACTACAGTCGCCTTTGCCAACAAACTGCGCCGACAGTTGTGTTAGCTGTGATCAGTTGATAATTTGATTGTCGATTACCCCGGGTACTGCTGACAACGTTATCTTAAGCCTTTCTTTGTAATGGTATAAAGTGGAATAACATATAGTAATTCGTTGCGGCTTCATTTAAGCAAGGACTGCAAACGGCTACACCACGGAAGAAGATGAAGACGTGTTGTTTTTTTGTGCTGCTCTTTGTAACTCCAAATATTATTGAAGGTAGGGAGTGAATGAGTTCTAATGTACTTCAAAGTACGTAATTTGTCTTAATAAAAATCAGCTTAAACTGTGCCTAAACTAAAGGGAGGTCGCCACCCCAAATTACACTTGTACTAAATGTGTATAGCTAAGATGACAGGCCAAAGTTATCCCTGTCTTAACCAAGATGGCAAATTTTAGATCAAACACAATGAGCGAACAAAATATCTCTTTTAGTAACTTTAAGGTATGATGCTACTTGCTCAGGAACTTTTGGTCTTGATAGGAAGGGATCACGTAATCACTTCCTGGTACGTATAAAAGCTGAACTGGTGATTGATACTAGTTTGATATTGTGGTTATGGNACTAAAACGCTTTTTTTTTTACTAATAGATTGTTTTTATAATTTTTAAATGGCGGGGATCGATTAAAACATACCTCTAGTGTATAGATTGAGTGCTGTATCTTCAAAATTCGAGAAATGGATTTTTACATGAACATTGTCCTTTAAACGACCGTTGAGCAAACATGTTGCGTTTTCTGTAACTTCACCGGCGATCTGAGGTGACCAGTTTACGATCATTTTGCCTTTTGCTAGACTAATGAGCGTTGTTTGGGCGTCCTTGGGCGACTGCTGGGGGGCCTGAAGTGCTGCATTTTTCAGTCAAGAGGTTTGTTACTTTACTTCCATTAGTTTTTAGTATCTTGAGAAGATAGGAAAATTAACCTTTTACAGAGGTTGCATTGTAACAGAATTGACTTACGATGCAGTTGTGCTAAAACGCACTGTGGGCCTTGTTTCTGAAAGCGGTTTATTGTGTTAGTTGCACTTTGGTGATCTTTTGATTACCAGGTAGCATAGGGAAGTTATTTTCGCTCATAATAAAAAACCCAAGGAAGTAACTGCTGTTGATTGAGGAACTTACGGCGAAAGGCAACACTAAGGAGGACCATGAAGACGTGGTGTTTTTATGTTTATGTGCTTCTCTGTGCAGCTCCATATTCAACTAAAGGTAGGATGTAAAAATGTTGCACTTTACGGTGCTTCAAGGTATTTAAGCCATCTTGAAATAATTTCAGCTTATCCTAGGCCATAGATACCGTGTTATGCGCCCTCCCCAAGTCCCACGACTCGATGTATCATCAGAAGGGTATATTCTTCATCGAAAAAAAATGAACATTATAACTCTTTTGATAATTACTCTGCAAGAGGTATGCAGTAAAATATCATTTTGGCAGGGAGGGGTTCCATAATAATTTCAAAGTATAAATGCTTAGCCCTTGAGAGAGTTGCCATAGCCGATTATAAGATTAGCGGACATGACCTCATTTTACTTGTCCAACCTTGATAAAGTTCATTAACTGTCTCCGTTCAAACAAGAACACAAATGATACGCGGTGATTTTTGTTAATCGTCCCAAGCTAAAATGCTTCCACAGATTACATTTTTATCTCTCCTATTTTCTGATAATATAGGTGGAGAGACTACATTAGGCGATTAAATGAATGATTTGCACTTTTTAGGGTTAGAAGTAACATTAGCTGGTTTGCCTGTCAGTGGGTACGTCATGAATCCTGAGGGCGGCAACCCACAACCACTAAACCTTGTGTGCAGTTACACAGTGGATCCCGGAGAGACGGCTCAGTATGTCACATTCTACAAAGGAATTGACCCAGCAAACCAAATAGTAGTAATACAGGTATCTGATGGAACTTCCAGGAAAGCCTACAGCTATCTCACTAGAGCTGATGTGACTGCTTCAGGCTCTGCTCCATCATTCACGTTAACAATCGGTGGAGTCACCATGGCAGATGAGGGGAGCTATAGATGTCGTGTTAACACTGAATTCTTTAGAACCATCGTGACAACTGACGAGCAAATCCTTAGTTTACTTTGTAAGTAAATCACTGAAGTATTAGCATGTTTGATTTCTGTCCATAGAGAGAAAGTATTGAAGGTTGATCATAATTTAGAAGAAAGGGAGGAAGTCATTAATACTT